CCTTGATGCTATGCTATCCTTCACTCTCTGCTCTGCTCTCCTCTGCTGTGCTGTGCTGTGCTGTGCTGTGCAGTGCTGTGCTGTGCAGTGCTGTGCTGTGCTGTGTTTTGTCCTTCCTTCTTTAATTGAGCCATTAATTATTCATTCACTAAATAGATTAATCCTGTTAATAGATATCCAACGCTTACCCAACTTTTGTTGCCAATCATGTGATACAGGTCTGTTTCCAAATCGACTCATCGTCCAACCAGGGGAATTCCTCCAACCACAGGTGTGTTCATCAAAGTTACAAAACAGCTGAACTATAAAATTTAGACAAACCACGTATTGCCCTTGACAGAAACGAGTGAGGGTTGGATACTTTTTGTTGCGCGGGTACTGGGAACTATGATACCCCTTTGGGTAGATAGTACTAATACGATACTATATAAACATAAAGTATCACACGAAACACGTCACGATGCTGCGAGAGAGAAAATACTAAGAAATCAAAGTAAAAGTAAAACTGGCTTTTGTCAGTAAACTTGTTATTGGGGTACATTTGATTATATTCACATGCAAATTTGCGTCATACATTTATTAAATTATTATTATTATTATCATTACTATCATCATCATCATCATCATCATTAGAAGTGGCATATTTTCGGGTTGAGATTGATTAACTGTTTATTCCGAATGTTAGCAAGGAGGGATGTTAAATTACAATAAGAGGGTGATAAGTATGTGGAGAGGGAGGGATGGAATAAAAAAGTAGAGACAGCGAAAGATGACTATATCGGACCGAATACTGAATAAGCAAAATGAAGATCTTGAGTGACATGTTTTGACAGTTATCCGGGTGTTTATATTTCCTTACCTTCATGATCGAGTGTCGTACAATTATCATATGCAATCGTTAGATCATCCAATGCTATATCACCACGTGAACCACGTCCTATTGTCCCTTCGAATAATATCTGGAATGAAGACATTGGTTGAATGCCAATGGATAGCGTACATTACATACAGTCAATTCAAAAAACGTTGTCGTCGACCGGCTCAAGCCTACGCGACTGGACCGAAAAGAATATGGGTAAAAATCACTGACGCGATTAAATATTCGTTCTGAATAAATTGTTCCCGCTAGTAATAAGATAATAATGGCGAGAAACATCCATCAAATGCATGTCTTCGGGTTTAGGGAAAGGAAAAAAAGTAGTTATGATTCAGTTCACAATTCCGAAAATATGAAGGCATTAAAAAAACGTCTCCTTCAACGCTTTCGGCTCGCCTACGAGGTTCGTGCTGTAAACCAGGCATAACTAGTCATTTAAAATTATGGAGTCAACTCGGCTTCAATGATTACTACCCAGAGTTCCTTTCGGTCCAGTCGCGTAGGCTTGAGTTGGTCGACGACAACATTTTTTGAATTGACTGTATACATTTTGTATGCTGTCACTGATGAAGGCACTACATAAATTAAGTCTGAAATCGAAAAAAAAATTCTTGGCTGATCTAAATCGGGGCACGTCTAACTACCGGATGGAATTTAATCATTTGTAATTTAGCGCGTTAAGTTCAGTTAAAGCAAGGGAAAATGGAGAACCTGAAGGAAAAAAAACTCTCTAACCAAGAGAGGTGCCCAACAACATTTTTCGTGAATGTGCTCTTGCTACAACAATAGTATACCTTAAATGTTTCAGTGCTGTTGTAACCAATCTGTCCATACAACCATTTATCTCCCTTGTTCCCGCTGCGGGTCCATAGCAACTGCCTAGAGCTGTTCCTCTTGCTGTAGATGTTGAGCGTTCCTATATGGATTCCCTTCATGTGGTACCAGAATCTAATGCACACTGGTTCTTCACCCTCCAGGTAATCACTCAGTAACAGTGCTCTTTTTCCCGGGTTTTTGTCAGATGCCTCGATGTAGACGTACTTTCCTGTGAATAAATGGAATCAAAATTTTTAGTTTTTAATTTTTATGTTGAAGAAACATTTTATTTGTGTTTTATGAAAGAAACGCCCATCTATAAGACAACTGCAATAAAAAAAACGAACGACAACAAGTAAAACGCTGACAAAGCCGGCCAACAACATTCAAAGACGCTAATAATGAAAACTCACAAAAGCATCAGGAAAAAAAATCAGTCATGGTTGGTCGTATTGCGATTTTCCTATAAATTTTATCGTGGGAGAGCCTCCAATATAAACCTGTAAAAACTTAGCCATATCGAATAAATAATGATAATTAACATCTGAACCAGACAAGTTATGATTCCCAATATATTTACAAACAAAACTAGGCTGAACAAAAACAAAAAAAACAAAAACAAAAAAAACAAAACAAAAAACAAAACAAAAAAAACAAACAAAACAAAACAAAAACAAAAAAAACAACAAACAAACAAACAAACAAAAAAATAAATAAATAAATAAACAGAAAGCACTTTATAACATCCGCCTACATAGAAGATACCACGATGTCTTAATCAATCAACGAGAAACAACTCCCCTTCCGTCTTGCTTTCATCTTTATTATCATAATTTATTCAATATAGCAGAGGGACTGTGAAGAAGACTACTGGCTCATAGATTTTGATTGACAGCGAAAATAGCACTTTTTTGGTATCGACGTCTGGTTTCTAAATGAAAAGGCTCATATTGGGATATTAACATCTCTGACAGAAAGGTTCAGTTCTCCTCTTTTACAACTTTTATAACACAGAATATTTCCTGACGATGTGGTACAAGGAAAAGGGAAAATACAAGCTATAATTCTTGTAATTTCTGCTACAGGTGAGTGAAAAATAGCGTCTACAAAATTTGTTTTCTTTCAAGATACGCTTCGAAGAAAATTCGAGTTAGAGTTTGTTTGAATGACAAAAACATTTATCAGCTATGCTCTTAGGGAAGGTTTGTTATTCTCTTATTGAATATTTATGTTACAAATTGTTAATATTAATTATAAATGTAATTTTAGAAAAAATAAGCTGACTTGTTTTGTAAACTCGACTGAAAACTTTGCTCGAGCAGCACATGGCGAGAACATTTTCAATGCATTTACATTTATAGAATGAACTGAACTATAAGAAAAGTAAAGAAAATATGCTAACAGTTCAAGCAATATACGATTCTTTTAAACCTCATCTTAACTTTTCAAATGATAGTGAAAAGTTTTCTAAAACGCCGGACCTCCATTTTTAAATTCTCGAACTTTCCAGAAACCGTTGCTAGGGGGACGACAGTTAGGTAGTAAGAATCTCAAGCAAATCAGGATTGCTTTCCTGCTTTTTTCTTTATTTTTTAAGTGAAAAATAGGAGAATCTCGATACAAAACTTATTGCGATTTTATGCTGCCAATAAGGGTTTATATTGGTGGCGTTAATTGGAAAAAATGTATATTCCGTATTGGTCGTAGTCGCCAATACGGAACATATTTTCTCCCAACTAGTCGCCGATATAAACCCGTTTAATCAAGTCAAATGCAACTAGTGGTCTATTATCAATGCTGCATTCTGATTGGATGGGCTTCTAGTAGGCTATGAAGTTATAGCCTACTAGTAGCGAAAAGTGCAGGCTTTGAAAACCAAAAAATTGAATTTAACCTTAATTCAAGACTTGTTTGCTACAAAATATTTGACCGACTAGTTAGCAGATTTCAAAAACACTAGTTCTATCGCCTTCATGGCTTATGAGTCATCAATAGCCCATTCGGCCTCATGGGCTATTGACTTATAGCACATTTGATCTCGAGGACTAATTGCTAAATATGCGGCTTAAAATCGAAATAACTACTTAATAACAACGGCAAAAGTACCGGAAAAAAGCAGCAGTAACTGAGCAACAACAACAACAACAGCAGCAGCAACAACAACAATAACCAATAACAGCAACAGCAATAAAAAAAACAAAACACGAAGAGCAACCTCTAACCCACTCACCTGTTTGGTTAAGGGTAGTGTGATCAAAATTTGGCCCTGTTCTTTGAGTGGGTGTTGAACCAGATCTGATCTGCCACTGAAACTCACCCTCTGGATCATGTGAGAGGCTGCACAAACCTTTCTCAAAGTCACAATGAGCTTCACGGACGAAAAAGAAAGAAACCTAGTTTATACTAGTACGCAAACCCTTCTCGCCAAAAAATTTCGTAAGAAAGCTGAGAAGGGTTTGGGGACGAGAATGAACTTAGTTAAGAATGAAGAAGTCACGTAGGAGGAGTTTTGCATGGGAGGAAAGAAGGAACACCCCTTTCTGGGATTCTTATTTTTATTTTATTTATTGTTTTTGACATTTGAACAATGAGAGGAAACTCTTTTTGGGGTAACAAAAGCCAGCGTTATTATGGATATCTTTACTTATAAAACTGACAAAACACTTCAACAAACCTACCATTGCTATTGTCACACTCCACACCAAACGTAACGTTATCCAATGCTGAGCAACTCATGTTATTTATTGGACACGATGAAGACCCTGTGAAGGAACCTCAGTATGTTAGTATATGAATATTATGCATGATGTCACATACTAAATCTTTTTTGAGCTGAGTAAATTTGTCTCTTCTTTCTGGAACAGGGTATCCATTTTCGCAATACCGGAACAGGGTATGATTTTCAGCAATCTTGGTCTGGGACAGGGGTATAAATGTCAGCGATTTTTACTCTGGAACAGCGCCAGAGTTCAGAGGGCTCAGCGGCATATCCCTACCCTAAACGGGCATGAGTACCCCCCACCGGGTTTGAACACTAATGCGCGATAAAATATGCCGGTCTACAGTTCTCGTTTGATACCTTTTGATTATGCCAAACACTGCCTTATTTTGAATGTTCTTTTGATTTGCATAGTAAAATGCTTATAAAAATGAAGAGGGAAAATATGCCGGTGTAAAGTTTACGGTTGCTTACCGCAGATTTCGGGCTCGTCAGTTTCATCGTCACACTGATAATCTCCATCACATGTCTGGGACCATGGGACACACGAGCCACTCACGCACTGAAATGAACTTGCATCACAGCGATCTTCATCTGCTGAAAAAGGGTTTTGTTTCAGTGTTACAGTGGGAAACGCAGCCATGGCAACCCAAACGTCTATAAATCGAAGATATTTTCAAATTTCTATCTAATACTGAAACAACATATGCGCTGATCATGGTCAGAGGACGGTTATATCACAGATTGAATTGAAAACTAGCTGATTAGGTTTCTTAGAGAAAGAAAATTTCTCTTCCTTTGACCAACATTGCGACTGTGTTTTTCCCCAGGCTTTTTGATTGGCTAATGTGAAAAAAATATTCAGTACTTGGTCGGACATTTAGTATAAAAAATGCAAAAAAGGTTAACGAGAATGGAAGCAAAATTTCGTATACCCAGAGCTGCGTTTCTTTTGACCTGCGGCGAAGAACGAGGGCTCTGTATAATCAATTTTGTTGTTGCAATTTTCAGGAAGTGAATCTTATCAATCATGCTTTCAAACAGAGTTCTGTGCTTGCTTCCAATCAAAATCAAAATTAGAAATCGGGAACATATATATTTTTGGCAAGTGTTTCAACGCATGCGCTCTCATACCAAAATCCAAGAAATCCTGGTCTCAAAAAATGAATTATGCCAGAGCCCTCGTTCTTTGCCGCAGGCCAAAGGAAACGCAGGCTCTGGGTACGAGATTGGGAATGGAAGCGCAGTTTAATGCTTAATGCATGCGCAATAGCATAGAGATTATACTTACTACATCGACTTTCATCCGAACCATCCACACAGTCTTCGTTACCGTTACAAAGTTGACTGGCTTCAATGCACTCGCCGTTGGAGCAAGAAAACTGGTGCGAAAAGCACTTACAGTTGGTTTCGTCTGAGCCATCGGAGCAGAAAGCATCTCCATCACACACCAATTCCTTGTTGATGCACTGACCATTTGCACACTGGAACTCCGTATCATTCTTGCATTTGTACCCTTTAGAATCATAAATTTGTATTTGCTTGTCAGACCCCTTGCAGCACGTCGGAATGAAGCTCAATTTGGAGGACATAACAGTAGGTTTCCAATTTTAAGGAGATCGTTTTCTTTAATCAATATCGATTTCTTTTATTTATAGCATTTGCACGTGCACCTCAGTAATTTGCAATGGAAATTTTTGCGATGCTATAAATTTGGTTCAACGCGAGCCGAAGTCTCTTCATTGGGATCAAACTTGCATTTTTGAGTCTGTTTGACGGCTAAAAAAGGTTAACTTTACGACTTCAAAATATTTATACAGGTTGCTATTTTACCTGGCTCACTATGGATTGGAAGACGTGGACAACTAGACGCAACTAGAGATAAAGAATCAATACCCACACCAAGACCATGGACGGCCATGCTTTTACCAAGAAAGTTGAGCTGAAATACCATTACAAGGTAAATAAAGTTAGTATTGAATGAGTTTATTTATACCACAAAAATTACTTAAAATGACATTAATTAATTGAATGAAATAAGCTAATTGTATTGTGTGTGTGTTTATTGATACTGAAGTATAGCGCAGTGCACTGATTCTAAAAATAGCTTAAAGATTCGGACAAACATTGCATTCTGTTTAACCGTTACGAGGATTTATACGAACCGATTTTATTATTTTTACTTAAAGTTACAATAATCACCCATGTAAACTAAGATCAACTGCGATCGGCTGTGAAAATTATCTGCTGAAAGTAAACTTGTAAGTTTGTTTGTCCGAATTTCGCCTTTGTCTTCGTTTTTATGACGTCACGACTGCGCTGCGCTATTGATTAATGCGAATCATGAGTACAATTGCAAAACATTTGAGTATTCTAGTATTTTTTTTAGTTAAAATGTTGAAAATATTGATAGAAATTATAGGGGGTTTTAAAGAAAAAATATTTTTGAAATCCCACCCGACCTGCAAGGTACGTAAGGTCTCTTGGGCTGATATCAAACGTCGAACCTCACATGAGCCGAACCTAATTGAAACAATGGATAACAATGCGGTCTTTTTTGATGTCATTAGGTTCGGCTCATGTGAARTTCGACGTTTGACATGAGCCTTAGTCTCTCACCTTTATACTTTCTTTTGATTTCCAAGATATCTGAGCGATAGACCAGTTCTTACTCTGAAAGCCGCTCAGACTCCATATCGCTGAGCCGTTGTGGTTTGAGGGCGTTTTTAGGATGACTTGAAGTTGTGAAGTACTTGGAAGGAGAAAATAGAATGACAGACACCAGCCGAGAACATTTGTGACCTCATCATTTGGAATCCAAGCACTTTCCAACCAAGCCGATGTGTGGAATTCACTCGCTGATAAGTAATACCCTGGTAATTCAGAGATAATAATGAGGTAGGTTTTATTTTCTGGTTGTAGAACCAATAGGTCTTTTTTACGCGGTTGCCATGTTGGTTTGAATGATGGATTCAAGCGTAGCCCCGCCTTCCATTCTTTGAAAATAAATTGATGCGGGTTAAACAACGATTCTTATTCTCATGAGAATAAACATGGCGGTATTGTCGGGTGACCACGGAAAAAAGGCTCCAAGTTGAGGTTGAAGATGATAAAATACAGTAAACATAGGAAGACATCAAGTATAATCTCGTCTTGGAGCCATTGTTGGTGTTAACTCAAGCGAATTCGGGAAATGGTATTAAGATTAATTTTCCCTTAAGCATTATTTCTTTGATAAAGAGGAATTGTTAAGTAAATAAATTAGTATTGGTAATCCAAACAAGGAAACGTATTCTGAATGGAATTCGAATGACACCCTGTTTGAATATGGAAAATGGGAATGTTTTAGGATTACGATTTGTATCCGATCAAGTATCGATTGATGATAACGACAGTACTTTAGTATGGGTGAAGTAAACTAGGAAACTTATTTGGAAGGGAATGTCGACACCTTGTCCGAAAGGGATAAAATGGGAAAGTCTTAGGATTGCAATTTGTTTCCGATCAATCATAAACGCGCTTTACTTAACCACAGAACCGTTACAACAGTACGTAGTGTGATCATCGGTTTGGACCAATTGCTCATTTTCTTATTGTGTTACCCTCCGTTAAATGACTAAAACAGAAAAACACTCGACAGCCAGCCAGCTTAAGAATAAGACAGTTCTTCCTAGTATCTTCATTCATCATTACCTTCATTTCCTTTTGTAAAGTTCCATTGGTTATGCATAGCTATATTTCCATTCTTCCAAGAACACGTGTCCTTTATGTAGTTACACTCGAATTTAGTTTTAGCTGTCAAAGAAATAAAAATATTTGCATAAAAAACGAATATGAGCTATCATTACTTGCGGTTTAAAACGTTCTAACATGCGCATCAACTACATCTTAGAAAACCAGAATGACATCGTCATCTTGAAATATAGTTTTCTTCACAAGCTTTCTTTTTCATTCGTCTTAAAAGTTTCAATTTTACTATACTACTAACCATATATGACAAGTTCTCCAACTGTCAAATCTTGTTCTCTACTGTTTTCTTCATCAACAAAGCTAAAACGTATCTGAAAACATCAATATTTCATGTCATCCCAATATATGCGATGGTCAAGCTTTATTATTTAAAGATGCTCCTATTAATGGGTTCCTAATCTGAGAATATGCTGGCTCACAGACCCAGTATAGGAAATGCATGCTCCTAGTAATGAGTTCCTGATCGGGGAATGTACTGGCTCACAGACCCAGTATGGGTGATGGATGCTTCTAGTAATAGGCTCCTGATCTGGGAAGATGTTGGCTCACAGGCCCACTCAGAATGGAAGATGAATCATCCTAAAATAAGTTTTGGCTTGTAATAAAGTTCCAATACCTTGATTGGGTAGGACTTTGGACGTTTCAGAAGGCTGAGCTTGAACTCAAATATATGGCTAGTGTTGCAGTTCATGGAAAGAGTCTCGTTGACCAGAAACACCTTATCATCCAACTGTAAATAAACTTTGACTGGACAGACTGGACAATAGACTCCAAGGCAGCAATACTCATATGATGCTACGAAAAGGTTTTTCAGAAAAAAAAGTCTTTAAGATTACAACTTGAAAAGAAAAATGTATGGATGGCTTTAGTACATTTGCAGCAGCATCAACAGTAGCAACCATAGCAACCGCAGCAACAGCAGCAACTACGGCAGCTGCAACAGTATTTAGAGCAGCAACGAATACCGACAGCAGCAGCAGGAGCTACAATAGCAGCAGAGAAAGCAAGAACATCAATAGCAACAATTAACAGCAGAAACAACAGCAGAAGTAACAACAGCTGCTAGAAGAAGAAAAATCTTTAACACAGCGCCACCTACCTTTGACATCTATCAACCGATTACTTGCAACTGTAATGATCCTATTTCCATCGTAACCAATAAAATTGAAGCTGATATTTCTGTACCCTAAAATAAAAGATAAATAGATTTTGTAGGAAGCCAGAATCATTTGAGATCATTATTAAGCTCCAATCTTACCAGGACGAACGTAGAACAGCCTTTTCATTGGTATTGGCCTCTCAAATGTACCATTAGGCAGTCGCATACCAGCAGATGCACAGTCAGTAGAAGAGTCTTGTTTCATCAACATTTCGAGCTTATAAAGGTTGCATTTACTGAGAAATATTGGAAGAGACGTTTGCTTATCGGGATACCTGAAACATCGAATGATAATACGATGTAGACAAATACAGCTCCGTTTGTTGATTAGCACTTTTGATGGCTGGAAAATTAGTGTATTTTTATGTAGTACTTATCTTAGGAAAAGAACCAATTACATTGAACAAGAAAAACAAACATCGAAACAAGTTTATCAAACCCCGAAACAACCTCTTGGCTGGTTTACCTCAGGGCACGGCTAAATCATAGATCGAACCCTGAAACAACCTCTTGGCTGGTCTAAGTCATAGCACGGCTAAAGCACAGATCGAACCCTGAAACAACCTCTGGGCTGATCTAAGTCAGGGCACGGCTAAATCACAGATCGAACCCTGAAACAACCTCTGGGCTGATCTAAGTCAGGGCACGGCAAAATCACAGATCGAACCCTGAAAAAACCGCTGGGCCGAACAATTCACTCATCGAATCCTGAAACAACCTCTGGGCTGATCAAAATCAGGGAACGGCTAACTCACAGATTGAAAAGGAATCTAGCTTGATATTGTTGGGTTTTGTGAAGGGAGAAAAAGTAAGGCACCTGGAGAAAGAAATCGAATTACTGCTATTTTTATAAGCATGCAAAATTTGTAGCTGGGAGCTGCACGCCTAAATTTTGTTTTTCGCTTCCGTCAATCAAAACCAATCAGTCAACCTTTCATATTTTTGGAATTTTTTTTTTTTGGAGCAGAAGAGGGACCTACCTGTCCCACACGTTGTGTCCCACAAAATTTTTGTAATATAAATCCAGAATCTTCGCTTTTGAACTGTGAAAGGTTAAACTTTGTCCTTCATTGAGGGTGCTTTCTGTAGCATTATCGATCCAGAGCTCACATGCATCGTTACAGGCAGCGTAGAAGACGTATTCGCCACTGACTGGAACCTACAAGAACACATATATACCAAATGAACTGAAAAATCAGTGAATAGACCTTCGTAGAATGACGCTTTCTTTTTTGATTACAGTCACATTCGATAAGAATTTGCATCGTTCACAAAGGTTAACTGATGCCAATAATAAGGGGGCTTTCATTGCTTAGCGCATTCAAAATATGTGTATTTAGCAAATAGAAACATACCTGAAGATATGTCGTTAAACTTTGTCCGTAATAAATCAGATTGTAAACTGGGGCATCAAAGTCTTTAATACGAGCTATCTTCTCTGGTTGTGAAGGGAAGCGATCGTCCAAACGAAGTTTATCCACTGAATATGATGACACGTGATGCCACACCTCTTGGAAAACTCCTTTGAAGTCTTGTTTTCTTTCTAGAAATATTAAAATGAGGGAACGCACTTATTTTCATTGCTTGTCCAAAGTTCAAAGGAAGGCTGGGAATACAACGTTTCTATTTGTCCAATAATGAGAAAACGCGCGCAAGTCTTCAAAGACACGGCACGGCGTTCGTAGTCATAAAGCAGATCTTGAACTGATGACTGTGAAATGCGGGAAAAGCGCATGGCACAGTCACAATATGAAATTGATGACCATACTTTAAACTAATCATAAAGTGCGAGATTTGTGTTTATCCAATCGAAATGCTCGAACTAGCACCGTCAGCGTTACGATCATATGATATTTTTACTGAAAAAGGTCGTCATCGCTTATTACCACCGCAAGTACCGCAGTGGCGCAGCTCAACGTGGTCAAGCTATTTAAAACCATACGAACGGAACTCAACATTTCTAGCAAAGGTCTCTATAACATTATTTCAATAAAGAACAACATTTAACCTGTAGCAGTAACCATCACTTCACAAAGAGTCAAGTTGTCCAACTTTAAAGCTTGAATAGTCACGTAACGGACTTTCAGTTGCTGACTGCAGACAAAGATTGTACTTTTACTTAAGAAAACGTTGGTACGCATAGGACAGAGTTGTGAAGTGGAGCCTCTTCTCCCAAGCGTAACTCCTAGCTCATTGTCTTGGAAGCAGCAGTCTCTTCTGTTGGTTATTATTACTTTCTTTATAAAAAATGGCTTCCGTAGGTCCACTTCAAGCCAGGGCTGGCTACCCTGAGAAAAAATTTGTGGTCGTAAAGGAATTAGAAACATTTTGGTCATTCTGTTATAATTAGTAGAGACCCCTTGCATGTGAAGTCAAAGCAGCTCCATGGGGGACAAAACAAAAGAATTCCAATCTCCTGAGAATTGGAACCTATGTGTCCAAAGAAGAATTGTTCTGAGGGACAAAACAAGTAATGTTTTTTGCATAAGAAAAGACAACAGAACAATTCCTCTAGGAAATAAATGCAACGGGTCTATTGCTGGGTTTCACTCAGCTGATAAAAGTCTTTGAATCTCATTAAACGATCCAAATGGTGGTCAAACGCTGACCCGTTACGTGCTGCCAGCCACAGTGAATTGTTAAAAACTTTCAATTTAACTTTGATGTTTGAGATACCTATTTATAGTTATCCCTCTTTGGATAATTTTTACCTTTGTCGTTGCGAAGCAAGTTGCATAACTTCCATCTGTAGCCAGAGTTGGACGTCCAAAAGAAGCAGAAGCATTTGTCCTAACAGGTCTCTGATAGGCTAGATTACCTGAAATATAATATAACATATAATGCCATTTTTTTTGAGGGGCGTTCGCACCGCAACGCACCGCACCGCACCGCACCGCACCGCATCAGTCAGTCATGTGCTGATATATGACTGATAACGAATCAATTCAGCTTAAGGTCTTTTGGGGAAAGCTCTGTTGGATGGCAAACAAGCTTTAAACTTCTTCGTATCTTAAAAGCAAAAGAATCCTAAAACTGGGGAAAAAAGTATTTTTGAAAAGGTTTGGATACGACATTGGTAATCCAGCAAGTCCAAATGTTTCTGCCATCCAGTAACAATCACGTGCCAATCTTTTGCAAAAGGCTTATTGTTGTTGGTTAAAGAAAGATGACTTACGTTCGTCTTGTTGGCAGATTAGGCCACTAGGTTCACCACAGTTCACTTGAACCAACCTCCAACCGTCCAACCTCGTACTTTTACAAAGTTCAAAATAGTCACTGAAATCTAGACCGTTCATCTTGTGTACAATCTTATAGCACTCAACTAGAGAGAGGAATTCCCTTCTAAGTTGCAAAGAGTTCCATTTGAGTATCTTACATCTGTCTTCATATGCCATCTCTTGTCGTTTTTGACCAAGTGCGATGC